ATACATCTCCAGCTTCAGTCAGTTGAATATTTATATATAAAAAGAATCACATTTTAAACGCAAAAGTGTACACTTTAACAACACAATATACATCAAAATTTGTATGTTAAAAACATACCTCCAACATTGATTACACACCAATCACCTAGGACACAAACAATGTTGTTCGAATTGTAGTTCCACCATTTCTTTGTAATTTCAAGTGCAAGTTTTTCATGAGAAACACAACTTAGATTTGTCCCTCTGTGATAAGTAAACTTAAATATTAACAAACATTCAACACTTTGCACTGCTTCAAGATAGATAATGACATAAGAGCATCCATATATATTCATTCAACTTTAATTAACATGTACTGTGTATTCTGGATAGCAAATGAGAGACGGCATGTGTTGGCAGGACACAATGGGTCAAAATTTACTTTGACAATATCCATAAGCATAAAGATTCGACCTAAGACATCTGGAAAAATAAGACAAGAAAGAATAATTTTTTAAGTAAGTATGAAGTAAACAAAAGATCTAGATTATAAACAACAAACAAAAATATTTACGAACTGGTTGATCACGATTGAATCTTCCATTGATAACATCATCAAAACTTGTGAATTTCATGTAGTGTTCATTGGTTACATCATGCTCTTTCTTCACACTAGTGTTATTAAGTAAACAAATTTTTCACGTACAATTGCCTAAATGATTAACTGGATCACTTTCAAAGACCGTAAAATAATGCAACTTAAATCATTTTCCAACAGTAAGTTTCATTCTATGATAAGACTGATTTCGCAGATAGCATGGATTTTATCCCCCTACAAAAATTTCTTAAACCTTACATTAGATAAACATATGTCTTAAAAAAAAAAATCCAAAAAGATGAAATAAACATACCTCTTCATCGACGAAGATGGAGTTTAACACTTTGGTTTCTCCTTGAGAATGAGATTCCCAACACTCGGAAACCATGACATGGATGTGCCAATTAGATCTCCACTGATTTAGATCCTTGCTTTTGTGAAACCAAGTATCTATCCTTAACTAAAATCTAAATTTGATGGTTTAAAAGATAGAGAAGAGAAGTAGTAGGTTTAGGGGAATGAAATCACTTTAGGTATCAAGTATTATTTATAAAGAGTATGAAGAATTTAGGTTTTCAATGATATCGATTAGTGAAAAGACGTAAGGAATGCCTCTTGATATAATATTAAAATATTCAACATCAATATATGTATCTATTTTTTTGAACCTTGTCATAAATACATAAATCACTATAAATTAAATAATATATCTTTGGAAATAAAAATAAACAAAAAATATCGGCATGTTATATAGTTCTCTCTTAAATGTCTTATGGATCTCAATATTAAGTTTCTGTTTGTTGTTTCATATTCATCAGCATATATATTAGTCTTTATATATATATTATATTGATTTCGTGAAATGATTGACATTATCAGGAGACTTCTAACTGCCTAAACATGTGACTCGGTGGATAAACTTCTTGCACATATCATATGATATGAGCCATCAAAGGTAAACTATCAAACTACATGTACGATCGCTTGCAGAAGAAATGTGCTAACCATAGAGTAAATTCTCACTGTTTAAGCTATCAAAGGTAAAATATCAACCTTTCATCCTTTTAGATAAATAGTAATGATCAATGTTAGTAGCCCGACATAAAATAATTATCCGATATATTCGGAATAAGTAAAAAGACCATAACAAGTATCTCTTCAGTGAAACTCATTTTTTCTTTATGTCTTTACCATTGACTTGAACAATATCAATTTCACCAATATCAACAACTTCTCCAATCACATCTGAAAATTTAAAACACTATTATTGATAATCCATACTTAATATTACAACATACTGTATATAAAATAAGAAGCAATTACCAATCAAGAAATGAGTTTTTAGATCGCCTCCTAGTATCTGCTCGAAAGTGGTAAAAGAGATAAAGTTATAATTTATCTTTAGTTTTGACTTTGTGACAGATGTTCCACTGACGAAGGACATCTTGTAAGCATGGCCTGTAGGTCTACTGTCCAGAGGCAGGAGTTAAAGAGAATTTCTCGATAATTCTCCATTCTCCAATAAGAATCTCCTTTGGAAGCCTTGTCGAGTAAGTTTTCTTACATGACTCATGGATTTTAACACCCTACAATAGAAGAGTTAGTTAGGAGATATAATATGAAATATATAAACAAAATGTTAGGATATATTGAGCGTCATAACTTACTGATTCATCTGCTAGTATCATCTATAGTGATTCTCCTTGTGGAACCGAGTATTGCTTCCAGGAATGCAGGGCTTTAACCTGCACACGCCAACCTGACTTGAAAAACATAGATAAACTTTGAGTTCTGATTGAGCCGAAATTTGCCACTTAAATCATTATTGTTATCACCTTCATTGTCATCTTCGTCGCTTATATTAGCAACATTGTATTCTTCTTGATTAATTCTGCATAAACTAAAGTTAGCACCTCATATTCAAAGTAAGACTAAAGAATAACAAATAACTCAACATAAAATAATATCCTTACAAGATATGCTTGATTTCATCATCTTCATCAATTTGAAAATAAAACCACAACCTAGAGATACTTCCTTCAACTTCTATAATAACTAAAACACAAATTGAAATGCAGAAATTTAAAAGTTTGAAGGGTATAAATAATGCAGACGAGCATGATAGTAGGGTTTTTAAATAGAGCTAACCATCATCATGTACTCACCAATCACTCAAAACACAATTAACTACTCCACCTGAACCGTAATTTTCGTTCCATTGCTCATAAAAATCAATTACCATCTTCCCACTTGGAACAAACTCAACCTCATAATCCCTAACATTTGATAACAAATGAACTTAAACATTAAACTAAATCAACTTTAAACCAAGTTTCTCAATAGTATAAATACTCTGTATCTCTGAGTCGAAATTGCAGTTGACATATACTTATATCCATTGAATGAGGAGATAGAACCATTTCGAGTTCTCCAACATGATCAGCAATACCTACAACATCTGAAAAAAACAAAGAAGCTCTTTTGTAGTATAACATTTAAAAAAAAAACAGCATTCTTAATTGAACAGTTAGAGAATGGGAATACATACCAACATGGTATCTCCTATTATCCCAAGATCTAGGCATTAGATGTTTGAAACTGATGAACCTCATGAAATGATCACTTGAACGTTCATAAGTTTCCCTCACCTCTGTGTTATTCACAAGAATTAGTTGCTTTGTAAGCCTAGTTAAGTGGGTATGAGAAGTCACATTTGAAACAATGAAATGCTTGATAATCTTCCTTTGTTCCTCATATAACTTTGCTATTCAAGTGATCCACGGAAGACACCATCTCAACCGATGCTTGAATTTTACTTCCCTATCATATAAAGCAATGGTTTAGGAAAGTAAGTACACATTAACGATGGTCTAAGAGAAAAACGATATATGATAGATTTAGTTACATGTTGATCAACAAAAAGGAAGTGTAGTACTTCATTACCATGAATAAGTACTTTCCGTTTCTTATAATCCTTCACACAAATTCGCCAATCCGCCTTCCATTCTCCAAGATTTTCAATGGTACTAATCGTAGACATTTCTTAATTTCAATGGTACTTGTTTACTGCAGACTTAACCATGTTTTATAGATGGATTGTTCTAGGGCTTCCAAATATTTTATTAAAAAGATATGATATTGATATATCAGGTTTTGGGGTGAAAAAAAAAATACAACTTTTGCTATCGTCAGATTATGAAATATCCAATCCGTGCAGATTCACCACAGCCTCTCGGGAAAATAAATGGTGAACCATATTTCTTTTTTTTTCAAATCACTTTTGAAGACCGTCATGTCCCATCTTCCTCGACTATACATTGTTTCTTAGTCGCATAAGCTTTCTCTACAAATCAGGTGCACAGTTCATGTTTTATTTAGAAGTAGGATCAATACATGAAATAATATTATGCGACATTTAATAGGTTAATCATATGCAGATTAAGCTAAAAGTTTAAACAATATGAGAACAGAACAATTGTTCGTAGATGCCGACCGATAAATTTAAGCTTAAAAGTTTCATGCAATGGTATCATGCTTAAACCTATTGAATTAGTCCTTCTAATCAAGCTTTTACCTGGTTTGCAAATCTTTGTTACAGGTTTGGGTTTGATCCCATTTGTTTTTTCTATTATTTCAGGTATCTTATTTCAGGTATTAGTTTTCATCTCGATATCTGACTTCACTCATATATAGGATCATTAGAATGAAAAAACTTGATTGAAAGAGAAATACTCTTATATAGTATCGTGATTAAATCTTTTAACTTGGTCGAGGACTCAAATTTGCATTGCAATCATTCAATTTACAGGTTCTCGATTGCCTATTTTCATCTATTGGATATCGAGACCTTGCTGCAATACCGAAGAGCATATCCAAGTAAAAGTTTTCATGACCCTTTTAATATATTTATAGATATACCGATCTAGATGATTAAATATAAATGAATAGAGGATTAATATGAATGAACGAATGAAAACTACGATATAAATCACAAGATTCTTTCTAATTACAAGTAAAAGTTTCCAAGTAAAAATTTTCAGTTTATTGTTAGTAGAAACAATCTTGTGATTTGTATCGTATATTAGGCATAATATAAATGTATTAATTCGTATTTGACTGAAAATCATTCTCTAAAATACTTGAATAATACTATTATTCATTCATATTATTATTTTAGGTTTACTTTAATAGCATTTTATGTAATATAATACATGAATTGTGTTTAAGCATTAAAGTGAACTTGAAATAATAATATGGATGGATGAGTTAGCAATTTTTTTTTTTTAATCTTAGTTTCAGTTTAATTTAATAATTTGCTTATAGTTTGATTTTTATATAAAAAAATCTTCATGACTTTACTATATCACAAATTTACAAGTAATATGTTTTATATTTGAGCTACATAAAAAAAAAGCAAGGGTCATAAAATTCCAATGGCATGATTTAGAGAAAAAAGATAGAGAAAAAATTAGAAGAAATAATTTTATTTTTTGATGATTAAATGAATAATTAGAGGAAAAGAAAAATAAATATGATTGAAAAAAAGTGCTGGTTGGAAATTGGCCGTTGTTTATTGGAGACATCAGAGGTCCATAAATGGGTATCATCGTGATTCCAACAAGAAGACTTCTTTCTTTCTCTCCTCCAATCTAGGGTTCTTACGTATATACTCATTTCTCTTTCATCCCTTGATTGAAATTCCTTTTGCCGTCAATGTTGTCGCTTTGACGGAAGAAAGCATTGTCCTTTTTCTCTGGGCTTGGGGGTTGATTTTCTCACATTTTTCTCTGTTTCATCGGATCCCGTTGAATTTCAGGAGATTTCGTTTGAAATCTCATCCCCTCTTCTTCTGGGTTTTCTGGATCTCGATCCTCTTTGCTGTCATTGACGGGTCATTTTTTTCGAAGATGACGATCCCTAATTCCAATGATATCATGGTTGAAAACGCAGTCTGTGATTTTCCGTGTACTCCAGAGGAAGAGAGACGTATCGTCTCGGAGCTAACTACCGAGTCGGAGGATAATTTGAAGGAAGGGAACTTGTATTTCGTTATCTCCAAAAGGTTTCGTTCTTTGATTCCTATTGAGTTTTGTTTTTGGCAATGTTATGATTCTCCTGATTTTGGATTAGATGCACATGTTGTACACTTTTTAGTTGATTCTGCTTGAGCGTTTTGTGAGCTCATGATCCAAAAAAAGTGTCATGCATGATCTTCATTGTCTGGTTCTATTCATAGATTTTGTTTTGCAGCTTCTCTTATGAGAGTAGTACTTAACACTTCGATGCTAATTGTTTATGTTAATTGCTCCATAGATTGATTGATTGTTGATGTAATGCTTCTCTTTGTAGATTTCTTTCATCTGTATTTGTGTTTTGGACATTCTTGTGACTCAGATTAGGGAAGGGGATATTGGTTATGTTTATCTGAAATTAGGAAACGAGTGTTCTCAATGCTAAGTCGTAATCAACGTTTCTGTTACTTCAGGTGGTACACAAGCTGGGAGAAATATGTTGGGCAACCAACAAATGAATGCACAAGTGGAGAGCCCTCGGAAGCTTCAAGGCCTGGACCGATTGAAAACCATGATATCATCGATAGTGCAAACGACACTAACGATCCACAGCTCCGTAGATTGCTTGTGGAAGGGGAAGACTACGTTCTAGTTCCTCAACAAGTTTGGAAAAGACTTGTTGAATGGTGAGCGTTTTCTTCTATTCCATTCATTAAGATTGAGTTTTGTTTTAGTTCCATACTCATGGGACAAGGTCCAGATTTTGCTGTCAAAGCTAAGCTGCATGACTCTTTCATTTATTCTCTATTGTTGTTTATTCTCTATTGTTGTTGGAAACAAATATGCTTTCAAGGTCGTGATCTTGTTTTATATCTTTCAGGTATAACGGAGGTCCTCCAATACCAAGGAAGTTGATCTGTCAAGGGTTTTACAGCAGGAGTTATAGTGTAGAGGTTTACCCACTCTGCCTTATGTTGACAGATGGAAGAGATGAAAGTATAACTGCAATACGTTTGGGAAAACAGGTATCGCTACTTATGCACTTAGTTTTGGTTCGAGCTACTTGTGGTGCTTATGCATAGCCAAAGGCTCTCGGGGTTTTCACTATTTGACACAACTTTGGTCCTTCTCTTACATGGGTTTTTCCTGTTTCAGGCGTCTATAAGGGAGCTTTATGAGAAGGTTTGTGCTACGACAGGGGTATCTCAAGAAAAGGTGTGTGTCTGGAGTGTTTCATTTCTATATACAGTATATCTTTTGCTGATGAATTACGCATTGTTTCATATGGAGGTGTGTTCTTTGCTTGACATTGATATGTATAAGCAGGCTCACATCTGGGATTACTTTGGTAAGAGGAAAAGTCGACTCTTGGATCCTTCATCTAACAAGAACCTGGAAGAGTCAAGCCTCCACATGGACCAAGATGTAAGTACCTAGAGAACTGTCTGCTACACTTATCTGTCAAATCTTGACAAATCACCTTTGTCTCTTGCCGTACAGTTTGTCAGATATTGATTTTGGGTCATTGTCTGGAATCTTTCCTGAAGAATACCTTGTTGATAGGAACTTCTTGGATAATGCATCCCTCTTGAGTTCTGTTAACGTTACTCAAACCGAATCCCATGTAACTTGAGTTCTGCACCCCATGCAGATTCTTCTTGAAGTTGATGGGTCCTCTTCTTCTCAGTCTGCTATGAGCTCGGCAGGAAAGGAGCTAGCGCTGGTTCCCTTGGAGCCTTCAAGATCACGTGTTACAATCGCTGGGGGTCCTACCCTATCTAATGGTCATTCCACTTCCAAGTTTAGTCTCCTTCCGAAAATCACTTCTGAAGATGATTCTTTGAGTGTTCTTGGAAAAGGAGAGAAAGGAGGATTAGCAGGATTGAATAATTTGGGCAATACCTGCTTTATGAATAGCGCTCTTCAGTGTTTGGCCCACACACCTCCGATAGTTGAATACTTCTTGCAAGATTACAGTGACGACTTGAATGTTGATAATCCTTTGGGAACGTGTGTAAGTGCTTCAATTTTAATACCGTTACTTCCTCCTCATGTTAAGGTATTCACACGCGTTCTAAATATAATATTTAACACTTAATTATCCAGGGTGAGCTTGCTTTAGCCTTTGGTGAACTGTTGAAGAAATTATGGTCATCAGGAAGGAATGCAGTTGCACCGCGCTCTTTTAAGACAAACTTGGCTAGATTTGCTCCACAGTTTAGTGGTTACAATCAGCATGATTCTCAGGTTAGTCATTTCCTCTTATGTGCATAGTTGAGCATTTTTTTTTTGTTCCTGACATTGTTTTTGTTCTTGGCTTTCCTGTTTGACTGTTTAACAAAAAGAAAAAAGCGTTTCGTCCTGGTGTGTATGATGTATTAAATTGTTGTTTCAGGAACTGCTTGCTTTCTTATTAGATGGGCTGCATGAAGATTTGAATAAGGTGAAACAAAAACCTTACGTTGAGCTTAAAGATTCTGACAGTCGTCCGGATGATGAAGTTGCTGAAGAGCGATGGAACTATCATAAGGCCCGGAATGATTCTGTAATAGTTAATGTCTGCCAAGTAAGTACCTCCCATTGAATGTTCATCTTGTTCTCGTTTTTCATACAAGAACCGGAAGATTCTGTCTTTTATATCGTGACTGTTTCTTAAGCTGAATTCGATTTATTTCAGGGTCAATACAAGTCAACTCTGGTTTGTCCAGTCTGTGGAAAAATCTCAATCACATTTGATCCCTTCATGTATTTGTCTTTACCTTTGCCGTCAACACTTACACGGTCAATGACGGTCACGGTGTTTTATTGCGATGGAAGTCGTCTTCCGATGCCATACACTGTAACAGTGCCTAAACATGGATCTTGTAGAGATCTTATTACGGCATTAGGTACTGCTTGCTGCTTAACCAATGATGAGAGCCTTTTACTTGCAGAGGTATGACTTTTGGCGTGTTCCTTTCTTAGTTTTATATTTTTCTTTTTGCTGAATTCTCTGACTAATCTGTGGCATTCTCCTCTTAGGTATATGATCACAAGATCTTTAGATATTTTGAGAATCTTCTGGAGTCACTGAGTCTGATTAAAGATGATGAGCATATTGTGGCGTATCGGTTGAATAAGATGCAGAAAGGATCAGGAAAAGCAAAGCTGGAAATCCTTCATGGAGGGCAGGAAAAGTGAGTATGCTTGATTTGATTTGTTACTCAAGAACTCTTCGTTTTTTTCCTCTTGGACTCAGCTTTATGGATCATAATTCTTGGATTCGACAGGGCTGTTCTGGAGAGTGTTAGAGGCAGAGACGTGAAGCTTTTTGGAACTCCTTTTGTTACTTTTGTCAACACAGAACCACTAAGTGGAACTGAGATTGATGCAGTTATCTCTGGATTTCTATCGCCTCTACACCGGGTTCAAGCCTCATCTAAGATTCATAATGGAAGAGAAAATGGTCACCTTCCTGATGCTGCTGCTGACGAAACATCCGGAAGTAAATCATCACCAGACACCGAGATCGACGATGCATCTGATAGAGAGTTATCCTTCAGGATCTTCTTGACGGATGAGCGTGGTTTGAACTTCAAACCACTTCAGTCTGAGTCTTCTGTGAACCCTGGTACCGTTACAAGAGTTTTAGTCGAGTGGAATGAGACTGTGCATGAAAAGTATGATACCAGCTACTTGAGTGACCTTCCTGAGGTTCATAAAACTAGTTTCTCTGCAAAGAAGACAAGGCAAGAAGCGATATCTCTGTTTTCGTGTTTAGAGGCGTTTTTAGCCGAAGAGCCTCTTGGACCGGATGACATGTGGTATAGCACTCGTACCCTGAACTTGTGATCGCTGATCTATTCGTTTGAAGATGTAAGTTTTGACTATTTTATCTCACCATTCTGAACACAGGTTTTGTCCGGGATGCAAAGAACACAGACAAGCGAACAAAAAGCTAGACCTGTGGAAGTTGCCAGATATTCTTGTATTCCATTTAAAACGGTTCACGTATAGCAGATATCTCAAGAACAAGATTGATACGTTTGTGAATTTCCCAATCCGTGATCTAGACTTGAGCAAGTACGTGAAAAACAAGAATGGCCAGTCATACTTATATGAGCTGTATGCCGTGAGCAACCATTACGGTGGACTTGGTGGTGGTCACTACACTGCCTACGCTAAGGTTGGTAACTTAACTGGTCTCACTTTGTACTTGCTTTCTTTTTTACTCGTGCATATGCAAAAACGCATCACAATCGTTACTCTCATATATCAGACTAGACTTTATCTAATCATATGTGTAACTAACTGTTCCTGCAGTTGATTGACGAAAACAAATGGTATCATTTCGACGACGCTCATGTTTCATCAGTAAATGAATCTGAAATCAAAAGCTCAGCGGCATATCTTCTGTTCTACCGAAGAGTGGGAAGTGAAACGGAGACAGAAGCAGCTAAGATGTCTGAGGACTGATATGGATTAAGTCACGAAGTTGCTGCATTGATCTCACTCACTCACATGTCAGGTGATGGATGTTCTTTCTTAGTTGAAGCTGGTGGTTGAAGAGTTATCTGCTTCAGATTTTATGATGTTTATTTTGGCAGATCTCTATGGAAAGTTGGGATTTAGGCTCGGAAGATTGTTTTTTGATTAGGGAATTTTCTAGGTGAAGGGGTAAAATTTTTGGGTAGTGATGAACAGATTTAGAAATGTAGAGATAGAGTTTGCGAGAAGAAGCCCTTTGTCAATATAAATATTTAAGTATGCCAATCTACTACTTCGGAATTCAATTGATTCTGAGTTAAAAAAGACGCATAAAAGAAGCTTTTCAATAATAATCCCTTTACCCCTCTACATAAAAAAAAAAGATTAAATAATTTATAATGCAAAGTTTACTTAAATCCTTAATTCTGATTGTATATTATGGAGTCCCACATCGGTTTAAGCGAGATTGATAGAGTAGAGTTAAATATAAAAAGGAGAAGATAAGAAATGGTTTGCCAAGCTTGGTAACGCAAGCTTGTAATCCGAGTGGAGGCATTCCGGTTTATTAATCAACTGACCCGGTTGGTTCGGTCGGGTTTGGTGTACATTGCGTAGGGGCCTGTCGTTTGGAACCCATCCTAGAAACATGAGCAATGTTGGTGGGCGAAAGCTTTGGACAACTTGGCTCCTAGGTTTATAATTCAGTAGTCTCTCACCCACTGAGTATAAAAAATATGGATACTACGAAAACGGTTAAGATCCGAGCCTACCACGACTGAACCATTACTTTTTAAATACTTCTATAAAGAAAGAAGGTTTTGTGCAGAAGGAGAAGACACTGAGGTTTGAGAAACAAGTAAGCGAGCAAGGGTTTCACCTCTAAATTAAACGAACCCACAGAAAACAGAGGTGGCTTATGTCTTTTTTATTTTATTTTATGTAAAACTGAAATCGTCTTCTTCCTTCACTTTGGTTTGTATGTTGCACAATACAAGAAAATATTAAATATAATAAAAGATAGCTATTGTACATGACATATAATATTATCTTTTCAGAGTATGAGAATCATTCAACAACAAACTTTTGTCTGAATAGTCCAAGATTAAAAAACAACTTTGTTTGTTTTTTTATTTTCTTTTGGTATTATTTGATCCCTTCATGACTTTGATTGAAGTTTCAACACAAAAGATAATACATGTTATATTAGTTTGATCTTAGAGCATGTTCAATGCAAGAACCCTAATAGGGTTTTTACTTAATATTTAATTATAATTTTTTTTAAGAATCCTTGTTAAAATAATTTTATTTTCTCTGTTACAATATATTTTTTTTAATTGTAAATATAGTTTATATTTTGAATAAAACATAAATTATATTGTATCGAATGAAATTTGAAACATACTTGACATAAAAACATTTTAAACATAGATTTCGAAATAATAAACAGAAAAGAACACTCAGTTGTTATCTTAACCACATCCAAATTTTTGTCATATATGTTCAACCAAATCAGCTTTTAGTTATTGATGCACTTGTCTAACACAAACTCTAGTTCGAACACCTAACATATTGACGAGATTTGTAGCTTTGTAGGCATATCTGTAGAATACGTGAGATCCACATGTGAGTTTTCATTTCCTTCTCTTTGTTGGAATTCTGATACATTAAATTGAGTGTATTCATCTTGTTCGTCTTTTACTATCATATTGTGGAGTATTCGTCTTTTACTATCATATTGTGGAGTATGACAGATGTTTTCAGAGCATCCATATTGGAGAAGATTTTTAAATATATTTTAATATTAAATATATTTTTAATTTAAGTAAAGAACTCTATTAGCTTTTTCTTAATTTTGAGACCTACATTGGAGAGATTCTATGGAGTTTTTAAAAATAAAAATTTAGACAAATTGTTTTAAAATTTTTAAAAAATTAAAATATTATTAAAAAAATAATCTAAATTGCATAAAAACACAAATATATTACATCAGAACTTGGTTTGATGGATTTTGAATTCCAAAAACTAAAATAATAACGAAGTTGTTGATTCAAGGTTTTCAAAATGATTTTTATGCAAAATATAAACATCGATAGTTTTATTTATACACCAAAATGATTTTTGAAAGAAAAACTACAATCATGAAAAATGAAACAAAACAAAAATGTATCTTGCACGTCAATAACAATGAGACTTGTATTGTCTTGAAGATATGAGAGGAGTGGTCGGTTCGTAATTTTGCTAGCGACTAAAAACACTGGGGGACACAACAACTCAACTCCAAACAAGACAAACTAAACCATTACATTTGCTACTAAACCATTACATTTGCTGGTTTTAGCAAGCTTCGGATCGTTCCTGCTTTGGCCTCACTTCAAGTTGTGGTGGCAGAAGTTTCAGAAAGCTTCCCTGAACCATCGGAGGAGTAGGAGGTGGCCGATCACAGGCCGATCTTGTCGTTGTTTCAGACGAATCCGATGTCTCTGATGATCCGGTTTACTATCTGCAACCGAAATCGGGAGCAAGAGTTTGATGTCAGTGTAAGTGGAAGCTAAAATTCCCATGTCATGTCAGTTTTGTATAGATTATGAGCATATTACCTTTCTACAGGTTGACATAGGATCATCTGAGTAAAACGGCGGATATCCTACTAGCATTTCATACATGATATTTCCGAGAGACCACCTAGAGAGCATTTATTTGAGCACACTGCATTAGAGTCCTATGTAAAGTGCAAGCATAAGAGTCCCATCAAGATGTATACTCGAATCTGATGGGCATGTAACCTCGAATTCTATGATAATGCAAGGTACTTTAACTATTCAAAATAGGAATCTTGACACTAGGAAAATGTGAGAAAATGGGATCGACAAAGAAAAACTAATATTTCTGACAATAGTTCTGAATGTCCATAGCAGTTTTATCTCCCCTGAGAGCAAGGTACCTTGGCATTTATGGGCTCATTTGTCCTGATTAAGCAATGTGAAGATATCTAACATTGAGTAATGTTCTTTCTTTGTGATCAAATAGGTTTATCTAGTTTATTTGGGACAGAAGGAGAAATGATGATCCTGACTCTTATCACTGAATCTCACCATCAGATGTTATGGTCACTTATTGGAAGGTATGATTTAGTATATACTTCTACGTAAAACTTTTTAACTTCAATGTCATGATGTCTCGGCAAAGAAGTCGCCATTCAATTGTGTACAGTTATCAACACGGATTCTCAGGCTTTGCAGCTAAGATCACAAGAGTCTCAAGCTCAGAAAATATAAGATAATAAGTTAAATGTCTGACCAAAGCTTTTCATGGATCCAAACATATATTACCACAACTCTTTTTCCGGTTTTGAATTTGCAGATCTCTTTCTGTAAAGATACAGGCTTCAAGAACACTTGTTGCACAACCTGTGACCACAAAGGTCGCAACTTTAGAGGACCCAATTCAACTTTCTTCATACACAAAAGTGAAATTTCTCATCAAGAGGAGTCCTCTTAGAGGACCCTTTTCATGCATCTTCAACCCCACAAGATTATTTGTTTTTTTTATAAATCTTTCTGTTACTGCAACCGTATAGCAGTACATGAGGTGAACTATGAATATACTCAGATATTTCTCCTAATAGTTCTTTCACTGATAGAAGATTATCCATGCAAACAGAGACATCAGCAGATACTCTTGTTGTTTCAGGGGTTGTTGTAGTGCTCTTCAAATCATTACACCCTCACTAGTTTCCTTCTGCTATCAATTTGGTAATTGTCACCACAGGTTCTTATCACTCTCAAATGATTTTGTTACATTGACTAATAAGAGCTTAAAAAGAACACATTTTGGCATTGTAGCTTGAAAAACTAATCCATCAGGAGAGCTTATTTTAGCAGACGGATCAAGCCGCATGCTTGCAGACATTGTCAATTCACAGAAAGCTCACACACGACATGACCAACATGACTACATATTGTACTTGTGCTCTGCTAGTTACAGTGACAACTCCATTTCTCGAGTCCCCGGAAAGAAAACAGTTTGTCCTAAACCAAAGCCTTCTATTCTTGATCTCAACTTGCCTTCCATCACAATCCCAAACCTCAGAGAAGAAGTTACTCTCATAAGAACTGTAAATAACGTTAGACCCCTAAATTCTATATACAAAGTCGTGATCGATAAACCCTATAGCACCAATGAAACTAGTGTTTAAACTCTAAAGCTACAAAGTTACCTTTCAACAAAACTAGTGTTTAACTATACAACTACTTCTTTGGAAGCTTGACTTGGAATGACGATGTGGCCATCCCAGTAATTTAGATCCTGCTGTTAGAACAAATTTATAAAGATTTTTATTGGGCTTTATTAATTTGTGTATGTGTGAATAAAAAATATATTGTAATGTATATAAATAAAATGTTTTTATTAATTATATAACTCTTTGTGGGAAGCTAACACATTTAATAAAGTCTCACATTGAAAACTTGGAAAGGTTTTGAATAGTATATATATGGAATAACATTGGCATTAGTTCAAATGGTTAAGAGAGGATATACGCGCACGCCGCTACCATCGGGCCGTGGCTTGTAGTCATTTTTTTAGATGAGAAAACGGTCATTTAAATTATGAACTTGTTCGATTTCGTCAAATTAAATATAAATTGTTCATTTCCCCAAACAACATATCAATTTATGTTGACCGAGATGAATTAGATATACTATAAGTCAACATTAATTAGATTTAAAACTTTGTGAATCACCGTTAATTGTGTCGTTAAGTCAAAACAATGTTGTTTCTTAAACAGAACAAAAACCCTAATTCATCATCTCTAATCTCTAACTTTTTTCAGTCTTCTCTTCTCTGTGGCTCTCTTTTCTTAAAATTTGCTGAAGAACTCCACTATAAGCTATCCCAAGGCATCGATTTTGAGATTCAGTAAGTTCTAATTGTTTGTATGCATAGATTTCGAGTTTCACTTCCTCTCATTTCGACTCTATAGGTGATGTCAACTGAATTTGAGTTTGATTGTAACAGATGGGTTCAAACTTGTATAAAAAACATGATTTTGGAAAACGTGGCTTTCCGATTAAATGTGTGTGTGGAGGTCAAGTTTTGATATTCACAACGAAGATCCAAGAGAATCATGTACGCCCTTTTTACCGATGTGAAACAAAGAGAGATGTAAGTTTTTTCACTTTATTCCTTAACTTGTAATATCTTCAAACATAATTCGTTTTGCTGATTATTAAACCGCAGAAAGTTGAAAATGAAACTTGTGTTGCTTATTCTGAAACATGTTTTGCTTATATACATTAGGATCATTTATTTAAGCGGGTAGAAGAATGTATGCTTGAGGAGGTTGAAGATGTATTACCAAAACTTGGGAACATTGAAACTGAAGTTTACAATCTGAAAGCTAAGGTTGAAGGGTTGAAGGATGATGAGGACCTCCAGCCGGTTAAGGTACCCACCATGTACGAACCACCAAAGACACTGTCGGGAACGAGGAAAATGAGAAAAGAGTTCAATAAGGCCGTGGAGAATCTCCTCAACCTCAAGCAAACACACGACATCAACACTCTCCTCAAACGGCTTATCCTCAAGGAAGAATGCATGACGATACAAGACGAAGACATGACGGTATGGGACGATGGCGTGACTGTACGGGACGAAGACATGACGGGACGTGATCGTAGCATTACGTACCACCCTCGTACCACGATCGACCACATTACATACCAGCCATGTACCACAGACGGGAGCATTACGGTACGTACGATCGGAGGGCAAGACTACCAAATGGGCCAACACTTAGCCAAATTTCAAGACGTTCAAAGCTTAGCCAAGCTTGAGTTGGGTCCTAACATCGATGAATGGCCTCTTCTCAAAGACATCCTCGGCCCAAGCATGTTGATCATTGCCCCGCTTCAAAACGACCAAGCTTAGAGACCAAGCGTGACAACGAAGACTTACCTTACTCGGACACTAATCATTCAAGAGGCAACGATAAGATTTATCATTTATTTTAATTATATTTCGTGTTTTCCTTTTGTTTGCAGGGATTTATTCTTAGTTTCTTTATAAAACTTTTAGAATAAACTTTGTAATCTTTTGTTATTTCTTTTGTATTTTCGGTCTTGCATTTTCTTTTACTTTCGACCCTAGAAGGTCAAGGCTGAAGGACTATTAATAAAGTCCCACATGCAGCATTGTAGCTCACCTTTTTACCTATTATCAATAAAAGACTGAACTTTCTTCAAAGAAAGCCTCCGCCGAGTTCTAGAGCATTGTGTGGTTTCCCCCTTTGTTCTTGAGTTCAAAAACTGACTTTATCACGATCCTAACATCAGCCGTGTGTGTGTCATTCGATCCATCTCTCGTTTCCATTCATTCGGTTAAGTAAAGAGCACCGTTTGGCCAGTTACTTCCCCACCATCGCCCCATATCATTTTCACCTTACCGGATCAAGTTAGAGAGTGTCGTGTGGCCAGTATTCACCCTCGTACCGGTCATATAAGATCATACCTTTGATCTTATATCAAAAGATGTGATTTATGACTTGAAAGAAGATGCAATGTGGGTGAAAATCGAGTTGAAGAAGTTGAAGGTCGTTGCTATGTATTTTTCGCTTGTTTTTGTTTGATGTTTCTTGTATTTGCATATCTACTCTTTTGAGTTTATGTGTATGACTTGAATTGATTTGTAACACTTGAATTGTAACCTTATGTATAACTTGAATTGCTTTGTAAGACTTTAATATGGGTTTGTTTTCATTACTCTTTTCATTACTCATTTGTGCAAAAAAGTAAAACAAAACAAAGTTACATGAAACAACAAAATGCAAGGTCTTAAACATTAGAGAATAAGTCATAAATACATAGTTTAGACCGATTATGTAGAACATGAAAATGCATAATAGAGAATCAAGTTATAGCCGATTACATAGAACAACAAAATTAAACAAAGTTTGATAGAGTTAAAAAAGGAACAAAGCATCAATTCGAGACTTATGATCCTACTTGTGATCCATTTGGTGATCCAACTTCTAATCCAATTTGTGATCCTACTTGTGATTCTCCTTCCTACATACCAAGTAAAGTATAATAATAAGAAACCATGCAAAAAAAACTCTTAAAACTCAAAAACAAAATGTAATGTGTAAACTAACACTAACCTGATCTTTCCTTGGTCTTCCCCTTCGTCTTTTAGCTTTAGGTTCAGCAGTCGGTTTAGAACATGACAACCTATTGTGCCCTTCTTCTCTACAGTTCGAGCATGTCATGATACGCTTCTCACGGCTTAACATGGTCTTCTTAGAGGAAGAGGCAGATTTGAAAAGGCTCTTACTTCTAGCGTAGTTACTACGTCTACCATGGTTACCTAATCTATTTGGTGGTGACAGGAAATGTAATCTACTCATCCTTGGCCACAACTTCATACCTTCCACCGGCTTGATACTATGCTTATATGTTTCCTCCACATTTGAGTTGTGCAATATTCACACATAATCATCGACCTTCTCCTTCTTTGCTATGATAACATACGCAGCATGGATACACGAAATACCATTCAACTGCCACATCCCACAGCCACACGTTTTAGGACCCATTTTCACACTATAAGCACAGCCGTGATAGTGTATTTCATGCTCATTATCACAAAACATGTATCTGATGCAATCCTTAGACTTTTTTTATAGCTGATTCAATTGCAGTGTGTGCCCTCTTAGTGAATCTAGTCTTCAACCTATTTGCAATAATAGACCTTTTTGCAGTACACACCATACATCTTCTAGCAAATCAAGTAATGGTTTTCTCCTAGCCTCACGGATGGTTATATTGAAAGATTCATTCAGATTATTCAAGTTATTATTGCAGAAAGAACCAACCTTAAAGAAAGCCCGAGACCATGTAGGAGGATTGGTGCGTTGAAGAGAATTATAGCGCAGCAATTGTTACGCTTCAACTGTTCCATATGTTCAATGTAATCTCCCTTGGTGTAACTTCTGGCTATTCTCCAAAACAGCTGCTCTAGCTCTGTATCTTGCTTGTCTCTTTTCCAGTTTTCTAGAATGTGTCGAGCACACATTCGATGTTCAGCGTGCGGAAGATCATTGCGAACAGCTTTCACCAAACCCTTAAAAAAAACGAAAGACTATTAAGCTATTAAGAATTAAGAAGTTAGCTATTAAGCAGAAACGAAATAGAGTGCTGAAAAATACCTGTTGTTTATCTGATATGATTGTTATGTTGCTTCCATCACCAAGCTCTAAATCCCGATTCAGAAGATTCACAAACCAATCCGAATTAACATCATATTCTATCTCAACTACTGCCAATGCGATATGAACAATCCTATTATCTCCATTTCTTCCTACAGCTGCTAACAATTGGCCTTTGACATCCCACTTAAGAAACGCACCATCTAGTCCGATGATAGGTCTACATGTAGACTTCCAAGCTACTCGTTGAGCATCAAAGCAAATATACAAACGATCGAACCTTTGCTTGCTTCCTGGTGTTGGTCCTGGAATAGTTTTGACCTCCATAATGGTGTCTTTATTAGTCAAAAGAAGCTCTGCTTTATAATCCCAAATCCGTGAAAAATGTTTTTCGTGGCTAGCTCTTTTTTCCCTTGTAACTTTCATCTTTGCTTTCCGACATTGCTCTTCAGTAACGTTCAAGTTGTAGGTCCTCTTGATCTCATCAGCAATCTCTTTTGCATTAAGCTTAGGATTCACCCTCAACCTTTCCACAAACAACTGAGCAATGGATGAACTCTTCAACATATTCGAGTAACCAGACCTCACACATATGTGTTTATTCACAAAAACTTTGATCTGCAGCTTCCGTTTGCGTCTCTTGTAGGAGCAATATACTCTCCATTGGCAATCATACTATGTGTCAGAGCAAATAGCACCAAGCTTGCTTTGTGTCGACATGTATAACTTAATGTTGTATCTAGTTTTCAGAGAGTATTTCAGAAGAGCTTGCTTGAACTCTGAAGCAGAACTAAACATCTTGCTAATGCTAGAATGTCATCGGGTGATGATTTATCCTCACAGATTCCCTTCGTGCTTCATCTTCCTCATCGTCGGATGACAGGGGATCTGGTATATTATCCTCATTCCATAAATCATTGTCTCCACTGTAATCACTCTCTACTCTATTGATAGCAATATCTCCAAAGTGAGTTGTCAACACTTCAGGCACG